GAGGGTGTGAAGGGGCACGGCCGTCCGGACAGCCGCGTGTGAACAGGTGGGACCGCGCTCTGGCGGCGGTGTGGAGCGGAGGCGAGGGCGAGCAGGGGAGAGGGCTGGTGTGCCCGAGTGCGCTCAGGGGCACTGCGAACCTGGGCTGCCTTGGGTAGCGAGCGCCTGCAAAATCGGTGTGCCTGGTGTGTTTTATGTCTGTGGTGTGGAACGCCTGGCAAAGAGGTAGGAGAGAGACATCAACGTGAAAACGAATAAAATTTATCTAGAAAACGCATTGATTTGTTACTTTTCCCTGTTTGTTGGAGTGCTGGTGTGAAGCTTGGCGCCTGAGGGACGTAGCTAACAAGCATGTGCTTTCAGAAACACCGCTTAAATTTCGTGTCATGCGCATATGGAATTTGTTCCTGTTGCTGCTGCTGGTGTTAGGGCTGTTTGGGAAGGCAGGGAGAAAGAAGTCGAGTCCGTTTTCTGTTCATGCTCCTACTTACATATATATGGCCACTCCAGGTTCTCATCCTGTGACACGCTGACATCATAGAAGACAGCTGTGACATCAGTGCTGACATAGGGCATCACTGTCTAAAGCAGAAGGGAGGAGCCTTTAAAAAATACTATTAGTGCTTTTGTTAAATATAATACTGAAGTTGTTCTGTTCATGTCTGTGTGTTACTGTAGCTGCATAAGCTAGTATTTCAATTTCTTTTTTAAAATTGGATCAGTCTGGCAGTTTTGCTTGATGCACATTTTGAATGTTACGCTGCCCCACCATGTGATTTGTCTAAGAAGCATGCGGCGGTTAGGAAGTAAAAAACTGTATCGACTCCCTTCTGTCAGGGCTTGGAAACAAACCCATGTCGTCTTTCTCAAAGCACTGTGTTATTAGATTCCCTATGTCCATTGACTCAAGGGCAATGCTTTATTTATGTCTTTTGTTTGTTTGTTTGTTTTTGTTAAAGGGAGACCCTTTTCTGCCAACATCCTATTTTTCTCTTTCTATCCCCCTTTCCGTTCCCTGTAGCCACATGCAGCAGCGCAGGGTCTCGCAGCCCTGAAACAGGGAGTGGGGCAAGGGGAAATATTCCTGATTTATGTTATGGCCGCTGTTTTTGGATTGAAGACTATGCTAAACACTGTTAATAAAACTCCAATTCTCTGTGGAATATTTTATATCGTAATTTTACAAGGGGCATGTCAAAATAGTGCCTCTGAAAGTGATCAGAGGAGCTATTTCTCAGTTTTTTATTACTGGTAGCAGTTTCTAAGTAGTCATTTCTGCCTTTTGCTTTTATTTTGATCCATGTTATTTACTGCTTGGTCACACAACTGCAGAGAAAAGAAATAAAAGAAACAGTTTGAAAAATGGGAGCTTGAAATTATAAAGCTGGGTAGGAAATTTGAAGGAAGACATAGTGCCTCAAAATGTCCTTTGTCTCATTAAAAAACCTGAAATGGCCTACATCTCATACTAGTGTCTCTGTATCACACGATAGAAAAGAATTCTAAATAGAAAACAACCAAAAGGTATACCTTCTTATCTTTTTAAGGACTATTAGACATTTGGGTGACTTGCTGAGAATTGGTATAAAGACACGTTTTTAATCTAGTACGGTAAAACAAGGAACTGTTTGGGTATGCTAAGAAACATTGAGGCTTGAGCTTCATTGGTCTGCAAGAAAGATAGGCTCCAAACTTGGAATATAGGTCCCTTGGTTTAATAGATTGCAGATGGATTAGCTTGGTGTAATGGCTCTTTGGGAAGTAGTTTATCTCAAAGTCTGGGGTTAGTGGTAAGGTATTTCAAAAGGATGGCAAATGTGACTTAGAGGTAAATAGAACTGAATTCTGAGCAGATGTTAATTATTCAAATGGCTGTGGTGGGTTTTTTTTTTTCTTCCTTGTTCTAGTCCAAGAAAAAAGGTCTGAGCTTTGAGGAGAAAAGAGCTCGCATGATGGAGATCTTTTTTGAAACAGTAAGTAACTTGTGATTGCCCTGCATTTACATCGGCAGGAAAACAGGTCCCTAAAAGGAGCTTAGCTGTAGAGGTAGGTGAACTCTGTATATCCTGCTGTGCAAGTCACTGACGCCCTGTGCTGTCAGTGTATAAATTACAGGGACAGAACTTGATTCATGTGTCTTCTGATCAGGTGGCTTGTCCCCAGGTGGAGCAAAGGCACAAAGATGCACATATGGTGGTAAATGCTTCGTGTGCTCCCTACTCAAATCTCATTTTGAGTCTGTTACCGTAAGAGGGGGAGCGAGAGGTTAGGAGGTATCTCACTGCAGTTTATGGGAGGAGGAAGAAATCTGTTTGACAAGATGAGAGCAGACCTGGAACAGGTCACTGAGGAGAGGAAACCTGGAGATCCAAAAGCAGAGCTACAATTCTATTGGTGACATAGGTAATTCACACTGTTTCACCTATTAAAAAAAATTGTTGTGACATTTGAGTACTTCAGCAATGTGGTGCATCTGGTACTGACAGTCTAAGCTGGGCTCTGGCTGCCCTGAGGGGTTTACAGTCTAACTTGAGACAAAATATGGTGACTTTAGACCACCAAAGAAAAGAACAGTGCTTGTTACAATAATAGAATTTTTTTTTTTGCTATTTAATTCTCAGAATGTTCTAATTCTATTGAGGGATATGCAGCCTGTTTCCCTAGCAAAACATAAACATGGACTGTATTTCCTACTTTCTTTTGTTGGCATTGATTTAGCGTAAAAACCACTCAGGCGTAGATGATGCTGTCATTTGGAGCTAAATTTTCTTTTATGTTTTTCACAGAAAGACGTGTTCCAGTTGAAGGATATAGAGAAGATTGCTCCAAAAGAAAAAGGGATTAGTAAGTGTTTACAAAAGTTATTTTTCTTGAACCATTATTAATTTTTGGGACAGGTCATACAGTGTAAATTTTCCTGGCTACAATTTTAGGTTTGTGATTGTAATAATGGAAAAAATAGCTAGAAAGGGAGACTGATCAATGGCAGGGCTGTAGCGTTAAAAGGGACATCAACAGCATACTCCTGCCTCGGTTTGCTAATGATTGTCACTGACATTAGATGTGCCAAAATGGGGTATAATTAGAACATTACAGCTAACTCAAAGTTAACAGTTAAAACATGGGACAGAGTTTTTCCTAGGCTCTGAGATGCCTGACTTGCAGTGACTTTCAAAAGTCTACGAAAGTCTATGAAATTGCTACGTGTGCTCAGGTGAACAGAGGATTTAAATGTCTGTCTATAACATCACAAATATCTTAAAATGCTAGTCCAGATGTCCCAGCCAATGTTCTGTTGAGGTTTTCCCTCCCAAAAATGGCAGGACAGCTGTAAATAGAAGGGGTTTGTCTTTTCAATGAAAGCCTTCTTAATGAGATACATTGGTTTAGGGTTAGGTCCAAGATGATTTATCTTACGCTGTTGAGTTGTTTTATATGTTCCTCGTTCTGCTTCCTTCTATGTTCATTGGCAAAAGGAGGGCATAATGTTTGTGTAGTTGCCACTGTCCTTGACTAGCACTTTGTGGCACCACAAGAGTAAATGGACATGTTGAAAGAACTGCAGTCATAGGTGAATATCACAAAGCAGTGTTTTTCAGTGATGTCAGCAGCTAAGAGGTACTCCTAGGCTTCTGAAGAGGTGTGGTGCTGTGTTGATTGGTTTGTCAATGCATATGTTTAATTGTGATTTGCAGGAAGAAGGTGCAAAATAGTAAATACAAGCAATGGAATTTCATATTTAAAACTGTAGAGTGCAGAGTTTCTAAAACTATTAATACCTTTGAATAGTCCAATTCATCCTGCCTCTGCATATGAAGGCATTTAGCCACACAACCCAAGCCTCAGTTACTCTGAAAAGAAAAACATCTAGCCCTTGGAAACGTCCCCATACTGGCATCAGCCTGTAACTTCCAAAAGACTGATCTGGGATCCCCTTTAGACTTGAAATTCAAAGTCAGACACTGAAAACCATAAATTAGCTTGAAAGCCTTTATATCTGCAACACTTGAGGAGAGTAACTACTTTGTTTTGTTAAACAGGTGTCACTTTTATAATGGTGAATTATACCACAGATTTGCTAGAAAATGAACAATTGCATTCAGAAGTGTTTTGGATCCTTCTGACTGCAGATGACTTTCTGTATTGGAACTGAGTATAATCTGCCCCTCCTGAGTCTGTAGACAGATGGCTTTAGTGCCTCTGCTATTGTTAAATGCTTTGATAAGCATTCCAAAATGAAATGTAATTACACTCCTCATCAAAAAAATATAAATTAAACCATGTTAGAATTAAGGTTGCAATACAACTTCTCATGTACCCTCTCATAAGTTTGTTATGGCATTGTACTGTAATATACGTGTATGTTTTATGACACTCATGAGCGGTGTTTTACAAACATCTGACAGCAGACTGTACAGAATAGTAGCCTTTATGTACAAACTGTTGATTTCCCTTCAAGTGGAGCATCAGGCATGGGATCCTCTTGAAATCTTCCAGCTAGCTGACGTTATAGTAAAATATTCATAGAGATGGTTGTAGATGGTGGCTTGTGATATTCACAGTCTCCATAGTTTAGATGGTAGGCAGTTCTAATTTGATGTTTTTGCTTTTATTAGCCTCGATGTCAGTGAAAGAGATTCTGCAGAGCTTAGTTGACGATGGCATGGTGGACACTGATAGAATTGGAACTTCCAATTATTTCTGGGCTTTTCCAAGTAAAGCTCTTCATGCCAGGAAGCGTAAATTGGAAGAATTGGAGTCTCAGGTAAATCTATTTGAAGGAAGGTACTTGTTTACCTTAATGGGTTTGGTTTTTTCTTGTATTCTTTTGTCATTCTTGTTCATATCACACTCTCTCACATCTATGTACGTACGTGTGCGCACACAGATTTTACTGTAGGAATCATCTGGCACACATAGTATGACTTTCTCGTTGTCTTGCTGTCATGTCAGAAAAGTTTTGGAGGTTGTTCTTGTTGGAGCTTGAGAAGACTTTGTCTACTTGCTGCTGAAAGCATGTTATTCATGATGCAGCACATCATTTAAGGACTTCTAAATATTTAGGCAGCATAGGCAGCATATGCTTTTATGTGTCTTTTATGCTATGTAGGCCATCATGTGGTAATGATTTAAAAGCCATGAGAGGACTGAAATGCATAACCCAAGTAAATGTGGCAACGGTTTCTACTTATGGCCGTTTTGCTTTCCTGTCTGGTTTTATTGGTGGCTTAATTTGTGAGTGCTTGTGTAATCCCATATTGCACTTTTATTAGGAGAGAAGAGCAAATTGCTCATGAACTTCTGCAGAAGAGCAAGGCATCTTTTGTTGCAACATTGCTGTTCTATTGATCTGGTTCTTTCCTACTTTTTAGGAACTGTCTTTCTTACTTCTTTTAGTTCGAGTGGGAAAGCATCTATTCATCAGCAGCTATGCATCATATCATGCAACTGGAGTGTGTGATAACAAGATCAATAAACTAGATTTATGGTCTGATTGCAGCACAACACTGCCAACTTTTCTCATGCTTATTTAGCATTATGTCCATTTATAAAAGAATCATTTGAATTAATGCAAAATTGTTGGTAGCATCCATACATTTTTACAGACATTATTTTCTTCAGGCATAGCTCTGGTGTCATCATTACCATCTCATGTACAGTGTTCTCAACTTCAGCTTGTGTGTATTGAGACCTGGCTAACATTGTTATCCCACTGACAATTTTGGATGCTCCTTTACTGCCTTTGTTTTCAGAACTCAGATGAGTCCAGATATTAAAAACCTTCTTGATTTAGCTGGATACGTTTATCCTATGTTCAGGCATGAACTTAGTCTGGAACAACTGGGCTTAAAGTAATTTTTATGTACTGTTAGTAACAATGCGCTGATTCCTACTCCAGTGAAGTTGCATTTGTCTGAAACAGATCAGTTTAACTCCGCACTGATTTGGAACTGAGTTTCCTAGTAAAGTTACTCAACTTAGCATATTCGCACAAGTTTTAGACCAGGCTACTTTGCCAGAAATTAAATGCCAACTGAGCAATTGAACAAATACATGCCAAAACTCCTGCTTTGTTCACTGAACACCCTGGTGCCACTGTCTTGAATGCAAATGATTTGCTCTTGGATACTTTCTGGTTTTGCTCACACCCCATATTATAGCCAAGTAGTTGAATGAAGGAGTTGATATTTGTTGTCTTTGCCCTTGGGCCCAGTCCCATCATGAATTTTAAAGATAATTGATCAAGCAGGTCTCTGACATACCCTGATGAGTATCATCTTTGGAATGTCTTGCAGAATCTGCCAAATGTGCTCCACCATAAGTATCCAGGGGTTATCTACAAACATATGCTGTACTGCTTTAAATGTACTGTTACATTATTAAACATAAAACCATCTGTTATTATGGCATTATAATAGGCACGTAGTTATTGTATTGTGGTGTTATTTTATGGATATTTCTCTGTAGGAAATAAACTGTGCTGATACAAACGGTTTTGCGATATAAAACTGCTCCAATTGAAACAAATAGTTTTGTTACCAGACCCTTATTTGCAACCCAAGTCCTGCTCCTAACATATGGCCTTACTGATAGAAGAGCTCTCTTTAGACCATGTTATGAGTCCTTAAAGATAGTTATATTCATTACCTTGCTTACCTGATGAGAATGGAAGTATTTCAGGGAAAAACGTTTTCACTAGCTGAAAATAACTTCTCTTTCTCTGTTGACACAGTGGAAAGGTGGCATTTTCAATGAATAGCGCTCTGAATGTTTTTACAAGATGATAACAGATTCTGTCTGTGAGTTCAAATTAGCTGGTTTAGTGTTTGTATTCTTCTTGATGTGAACACATACAGATTTTCTTAAGGTTTTCTAAATCCAGTCACCGAATGTCAGAAAACTTCTTGTCAGAACATGTAAAGCAGAGGAAAAAAGTATGCTATTGTACCATTTCTGTTGCATGTTGGCTGTCTTTGATCATTCCTATATACAGCTTGTGGCATGCTGAGAGACACGTTTTCTTTCTGCGTCTTGTCCAGATCACTTGTTAACTATGTGAGTTGGTCTCTTTCTTCAGCATCTACAAGCCAGAATCAAGCCGCCTTGCTTAAACACAACTTTAAAAATCTAGCAGTTCAATTCATGCTGCAATTAAGGCTTTTTACCAGGAGGCAATATTTTTGTTTGCTGAGGGCACGGATAAGTAGTAAAGGGAAAGGGATGATCCCAAGTCCTGAACTGAGACGTTTGAAAATAATGTGGATGAACAGAATGTACTTTTCCACGGTGCAAATTCTTCTATTAATTCATAGCCCTGAGGCTTACATTTGACTGTTGGGCCTGCTACAGGACCTTTTGACTGCATATGTTGGTACTTCATAATGTTCATTATGCTCGTAAAGCCAAGTTGCTTGTAGATCTCTGCATCTTACAGAGCTTGTGATCATGGGGAGGCTGGTTTAAGGAACCATTCTTGAAACGTGTGGTTTGGTTTTTTTTTTCAGACTTTAGTGATTATTGAGCAACAACCCAACTTAGACACTCAGTAGCAAAGAAATCTGAGTATTCATATTGAAGAGCAAGCCAGTTTTGTCTGGAGGTTTAAAGTTACACCTCACAGTGGTTGTGTATACCCTAGATTTTTTTTCAGGAGGGATTTATTACATCGTCAGTGTGATCCCCTTGTGCAGAGAGACGGCAATTAAAACTAATGCTTGAAATAAAGATTCTTTTGACATAACTTCCCTCCCTACTCCCATCTTTCAAGTTGCTTTTGTGGGAGTGGGTGCTTAGAGAGGGGTGCTACCCTCTGAACTGACATATATGGCAAGTCTTGTGCTGATCGGATTAGGATCTCGGGGCTGCTCTCTAACCCAGGGTTACTTTTTGGATGACTTTGTGTTTTTCTGGAAAGCAAGGACAGCAAATCTCTTCAGTTTGTGTAGCATCTGCTGCAATTTTTTTCTCCGATAGCTCACAGAGTAAGAATTGCAAAGTAGGTCCGTATGGATTTTATATTGATTTGTTTTGCAGTGGCATGGCAGCTCTTAAAGGTTTATGCCTTCTGCCAGGTGCTTATTCTTCAGCCCTTGGTTATGCTTAATGCACCTGTGAATTGGACCACTGAAAAAAATAAAAGATGTTGGAAGTTACATTTTGGTTAGACAAGTTTATAGTTGCATCAGTACAGCTAAGAGATGTGAAACTAGAGCAAGGGAGTGGATTGAGAAGTATTGTTTTGACATGGTTTATAACTGGAGAAATTTTTAATGGAACTTCACCTTTGTCAAGAGAACTGTGAAGCTTTACCGAGAGGGTGGTTTTTTGTTTTGTTTTGCTTTGTTTTTTTCCTTCCATAAGAAAAGGTGAAAGGATGTGGGTTTATTCTTGATCAATATTTTCCTGGTAGTTGGGTTCTGAAGTTTTGAATTACCTATGATCAATTATATTTTGACAAAATTAGATGTTTATTCTTGGCATAACAATAGTGGAAGCTTCGGGGTTTTATTAAACTCACAAAGAATTCAGCCTATGTAGTGTAAGCAGAAAGATCATCATTTATTGATGATTCTGTTGCCTTTTGTGGATTTCATAGCATGCATAAAATGAGGAGACTGGAAAAGAGCAACCCCAGCATGTTAATCACAGTCATGTTCAATCGCAGGCAAGAGCTGCTAATGTGTTTCATACAGTTAGCCCCCTTGCATGTTTGGGTTCTCTGCTGTTCTGATGTGCATGTTGCTAGAGAAGGGATATGAATGTGAAGGATATGTGACCTGCTGAGGAAGAGAAGGCACATATGCAACCAAAACCTTGACAACAGTTTTATCTGGTAGGAAATGGCCTATTGGTGAGCAAGGAAAAGAAGAGACCTTTCTGATGTAACCTTAGTATAAACAGATTGAGCTTAGATTTTTCTTTCATTTTTTCATCTACATCTTTAGTAAAACACTTGCAACTGTGCTGTCTGTTTTAGATAAGGTGAATTAATGCCTGTTTGCATTTTGCTTTATAGTGGCTTAAATTAAGTATTAATTAAAGTAACTAGTGACAGTGAGGCCTTTTTCCCCAAAGGGCTGGAGAGTCTGCAAACCACAACCCTCAGAAGCCCCCGTCTTTCCAGCACATCCTCTGCCACAGCCAGGGTGACTGGGGGGATCTCGACTGGAGTTGGCACGGGGTAGGTTTTGTACTGACACTACAGGGCTTAAGGGAGGCAGAAGCAATTTCAGTGATCCTGGGTGACATTGAAGAGTGTCTGGCATTGAGTGTGACAGAGATATATGCTCGAACCATAAGGTCATGGAGAATTGCCAGAGCATAATATAACATTTTTGACAGATAGGGACCTGAAATACCAAGTTCTTCAAGTTCTTGCAGTTGTTGGTGTAATTATTGACAGTACTGTGAGCAATGTAATTCAGTAGCCTGAGGAAACAACCAATTTACTTCCTTTCCTCAGTCTGTTTTTTTGACTGTTCAGTTCAAAACCATTCATTTCGCCATTTTATTGTTAATTGCTGTCCCTACCTTATTTCTTGTGAGGTTGCTTTCTTGTGGGTTATTCTTTTGTATTCTTAGGCTTTGCAAGGGAAGGTTTAACAGCGAACAGTATTATGGCTGCTGTTCCTTCTGAGACTGAGAGCAGGATGGTGTCACCTTGTCCTGCCATGAAGATTAAACAGAATCTTTTTAGAGCAGGATATAGGATGCATTTTTTATGCTGTTCTCTGTGCTTGCTTCAAGATACGCATGAGCAACAGA